ACTGGCTGTGAACATTCTAAACTAACACGAGTCTCATTAAGTGTCCAGTTTAAGGGTATTACACAGAAACATACCAAGGGAACATGAATTAAATATGTATCTTTATTCATTTACAATAAACTCATAAAGTACATCATTCTGATTGAAGCTAAGGGCATACAAAACTGTCTAACACTCACATCATATAATGTCATGTGACTTGGGGCAATTTTGGGTCATGAATATGGGTATGGAGCACCTATTCATGTAATAAAATTAGAGTTTAGTCATAAGGATGGGAAAACCATGCTATCTTAGGGGCAATTAGGGGTCTTGCAACTTGGGGCGACTAGGGGAGTACTCTATATAAGGGAAGAAAGAGATGGGCAAACCATTCTATCATAAGCTCTCTCTACCACTCTCTCTCCTCCCTTGCTCCCATAAAACCCTAGATTGTTCCAGCCCTAGTAGGGATGTTTTTCTTTCAATTACTAACTATGTTTTTGGAAAATAACATCAGTCGTAAGAAGGCTCACATTGTTGCATCAATCCCAAGAAGATTGGAGGTCCGAAGTGCAAAAAATTACGTTGTTAAATCAGCTTCACTTTATTGTTGTGCCATCTTCAGCGGAGGCCAGTTTGGGTCTAACATTGGGCATGAACTACCACTTTGGGATTTGCATTTGTGGACCCCATATCAGGGATGATCGGAAATTAATTTGGGTTTCAAATCTGATTCAGATCAGTGCAAGATCGACCTTGAAATTTCAGATTTCAAAATCACCAGAAAACCAGTTCTTGGGATGGGTTAGAAAATTTTTAAAATAGGGCCAACTACTAGATCTGGTTCGGTCATTTCTAATCTGAACTCTAACACTTCCAGCAGTTGCAAACCCTAGATCTTTACATCCCAAGTTCTTGTCTCAATTTCTCCTACATGTAACTCATGTATGAATTTAACGTAGGGTGTTCTGTGATGAACCCATAGAAATTTTGCTTGTGAGAGAAGAAAGAAATCTATTATTCAATCTCACATGGTTTCAAAGAAAAGAAACTTGATCCAGATTATAATTCACACAGTTAGTAGTGAAAGTAATTTCAGTAACTTTTCATAAATGCACTCAGATGGATTTCTCTTGAGTCTTGAATATTAGTTAAAAACATCTGGGAGATTTATAGGATCAGGGTAAGAAATGTAAGAAATGTTATGTACAAAAACCAGGGTAACATTGACTGAGTAATTGGTTAATGGTCTCTGAATTGATTCAGATACTTCAATAAATCTATCAATGGTAGCTTTTATCACATGCCAATGCATACCCATTCTGTATGATGGTTCATATAGCGTTGGAAGAACATCACCAGCATACACACAAAGTCAACGTTCATGCCCTATTAAAACTTAGAGCTTGGAAAAACCATTGTGGCTGCTGCAAGCTCTCTCGATCAAATGTTGCAGTAGAAGCACGAGTGATGGTGTTGGTGTCACAAAATTCCTCCTGTTGATCTGATCTGAACATCATGGAAAAGGTCAGCTGCCTGGTTTCATCACGTTCTCGACAACCCAATAATTTAAGAGAAGAATGTTCGTGATGCTTTTGAGGTTTCCTCGTTCTACTGCCACATCCAGTAGTCAGTGTCAGCTCCAGGTTGCTTTCTGTATCTGCATAGATCTGTGGATCATGAGAGCCATCAATGATCATCTTATCCTTTGAGGGCCTTTGGAGGATAGGTCCAGAGTGGTCTTCAATTACACTGGTTTTAGCTGAGATATCCTCTTTAGCAGGTCTTTCAAGATCAAAGCCTCTAGGAATTCTGAAAGCATCCCCAGAGCTACTGCATCGATCTTGAGAGCCTGGATCAGCTATCGTGCCATAAAAACTAGATTTTGTTGGGGTAGAGGGTTGGTTCCAGATACCAAAGGGGTAGTTAGGCTGGGAGCCAGTCCCAGGACTCCAAAACCCAGTTGAATTATCTGAGACACTGAAGTCAGGTCCAATCCGCCGAATTACTTGATTGGTTGAATTGGTTTGTTGGTTGAGCTTCTGCTCCTTATTTCTAAGCTCAGACATGAGCATCTTCTGAACATTATACAGCCGATGGAGTTCTCTTACCTGCATCATTCATTTATCTTAGTATTTAGATTCATGACACTAAAAACTTGAAATGAAAGAAAGGAAAGCAAAATTCCCCATCAGCAGGAACAAAACGAAGCTACTGCAACATAAAACAGTACACTGGATGAAAATGTGAGGATCTACTGGTCCTAAATGCGGTCCAACCTATTAGAATGGGTGTATTAATTGAACCTATCAGGTGGTTGTAAAGTGTTAATTAACCATTTTACTCTGCAAAAAGTATTCGAAAAGAAAAAAACAATGAAAAGGTATGGAACAGAGGATCAAAATAACACTGCAGTCTATGCTTACATCCAGTTTAACTTGTAGAAGTTCATTAATGATACAGATAAACTAGATTTTCCCTAAATCAGAAGAATAGATGAAGTCAAGAATGTCAGTGTACCTGCTCCTTAAAGGTCTCTTCATGTCTCAGCATTGTTTCCTTCATAGATTCTCTATTGTATAGTTCGAGCATTTTATACATGGAGTCTTGAAACCTGTCAAGACCAATTTGTATATTCTCCTTGAGCAAGCTCCTCTTGTAAAACTCTGGAGAACCTGCCGTGTTCAATGCATTATAGTTGCGGTTGGTTTGTAATCTAGAGAGGAGATTAACAGCATACTGGAGTTCCATTCTCATGCCTGAAACAGTAGTAGAAGGATTTATTATTACAATGCAAGTTATAGAAGAATCTGCAACAAAACAAGTGCATCAACTAAAATAATGTTTGCACAGTTGAAAATGTATAAATGTGAAAATTAGTGACCTGGTCAGAAGTCAGAAATTAGGCAGGTCTGAGAAAAATTTTCCACGTTTTTAATGGTTTAAGATGTTCAGATTAGACTTCCTTTTTGTCTTTTGTTTTCGGGTTTTGTTTTTTATTGATTATCCATGCTGGATTCACGCACAAGTTGGAGGTGCAGAAATTATGGCCTAGACTCAAAAATCAAGAATCTAGTGCTATATCTCTGCACCTGATGACAACCAAAAATTGGACCATGTCACATTCTACAGTTCATACCAATTACACCAACTAAATGTCAAAATTACAAACACCCTTACGAAGCTAGAGCCAAGCCAATAAAACTTAAGTATTTATTAAAACCCAATAGACAGTATCTGCCCGTCCAAGGTGAAACACAATGCCCAAGAGTACGTTTATTTCCTAAGTTTTATTTATTTGTGACCACAATGCCTTACGCTATGTCACTGTATGTTTAGATACTTGTCTGTTGTACCCCTTTGCGTTTATGATATTTAGACAGATCCATCTGATTCAAGAGATTTTTCTTATATTCTTCTTTTTGAGGGATTGTACTATTTCAGACAAACAAATGGGAGGTTTTGCACCAATTACCTTTACAATGTCTAAAGCTTCTAGTGACAAATGAGAACGGCATTTCAGAGTAACTGAAGTAAATGGAATAAACCCAGGACTTAGAGATTTTAAAAGTGCCCTAATAGAAATTAAGAACTATAGGATGAATTTATGAGCCATTGAGAATAGTAGTACAAGTCTCAAGATGAGCAAGGCATAAGGCTACTGTCGTAATAATTGTTGATGGTCTATAGGAAAAAGGAGATTGGTTCTATCAGAAAAGTTGAGTCTAAGTGAATGTGAATGAAACATCATATTTGTAGAAACTCACGAGAGACTTATGTTTCCGTGTTGATTGGTGGTGGGGTGGGGGTATAAAACTATAAAGCCACAAGAATAACAATGCCATCACTAGACACAGTGTCACAAAAGATAAAATACTACAACACCAAGAAATCATTGCAGACAGCTCAATGCAACTGAGAACACACATACAGAGAGAGAGAGAGATTGAAGAAATTAAGCAAACTTCAACTATCCAACCATCCATGAATAATCACAAGGGACAGGAGAAAAATCCTTCAGGAGGATACCTTGAAGGAGAGATCGGCTACTTTTACTATGTTTCAAGAGGTGGAAAAAGTAAAAAAAACTAAACTACAGATAGGTCATCCATCTCAAGCATAAAGCGTAATCTGCTGAATCTCTTTCATCTCAAGAATTGGAGGACCTAACTACTTTGTTTTTCCAATGTGAATGATCTCTTTCATCCAATAGAGAGAATTTACCACCTTCTGTGGATGAATTAGAAAAGATCATTTCTGGAGTTTCCAGAATCATTGACTTGAGAAATTTAATTTTCTAAAACACAAAAGAAAACCATCCCTAAATAATCTAAACATGACATAACAAGCATCATCATGAATATCAATTAAGGATTCAAGAACAACTACAGCTGCAACTAAGAACAATTGAAAGATGAAGATCTCTTAACCTGCAAGTTACAACAGCAGGATCCTGTGGTTGTTTTGGGTTGGTCATGGAGAACCTTACTCCCTCTCCCAGCTCTTCTCATCCATCTGGAAACCCGTGAACATAATAAAACTTAATTATAATACCACCAGACATTCCCTGATCAGCATCCGTGGTCCATTCCTCCTAAAGTCCCTATGCCAGGGGAGTTAACTACAGAGCAATCCAAGCTGGGAAAGCCGATTTATTGGGAGAAATCTCAGATACCCGGAAAATCTCCTGTCTAGCCAAGAAAACTAGACTAACTTTTCTAAGAGAAACAACAAAGGAACTTCATTAGAGGAAGTACAACAATACTAATAATAATAATTCACGCTTGACAGGCTGTGAAGGAGATGGGCAAAAAAGGTGGAGAAGCTTATGGCAAAATAAATGGGTGTCTGTTTTGGTATATAATGATACTCAGAAGGAGGATCAAAAAGGGGGTCCCCAAGAGAAGCAAAAATAAAAAATAAAAACAGATCTCACTGTACGTAAGCTCATTTAAGCTTGTGAACAAGATATTCCAGACAGTTCTTCTATGACATCAAGATACAATATGTTCGAAGCTGGAGCTTCTTCATCAATACGCAAGATCAAAACCTTTCTTTCTCTTTACTCTTCTTTCTTATTTCTGGAAATTCAAAGATACCCAGTAGATTGTTCTTTCTGTACTTGACAATCCATATCCACTTCCCTATCAAATAAATAACTAAACCAGCATACACTTGAAATTTGAATTTTTCTTTAGATATCCACCTCAGGTGTGGTTTCTTATTTGTAAGTGGCAACACTGATATTCCTTGAAAAAGGTGAATTCCTCTGATAACCCACGCCTGATTGATTGGATTGAGAAAAGCTTCAAACCTTCTTGGTGGGCCCCCCTATTGGATAATTTAAAAGTACGCACTACATTTCTTTTCCTGTTCTTGAAAACCCACCTCCAGTTTGTAGTAAAAAACTGTCCAGAAAATTACTGCCAGATGCCAAAGGTGTCTCTTTATGGTAAACTAGAGCTCCAAAAGGCAGTCTTTCTTATCTCTATGTAAATGATCTCAAAATTTTTTGAAACCTTAGTACTTGCTCAAAACCAACTTACTTTCAAGTTTCATCGATTAGACTGTTTACCAAGATCCTGCCCATTGAAAGTGAAACTTGGTTGTCTTTTTCTTCAAGAAGACAAGAAAACCAACATAATTATCTCTTGCAACTCAAAAACTAATTCGGAAAATAGGATTCAAATGTGCAAATCCAAACCAGTACAGTAAACAATTGTGGTAAAAATCTTCAACAGGCAAGAGAGGGATGGGTACCTCCAATATATCGCTTTCCTCTAAAAGATGCTGGACTAAAACATACCTGTCTCAAAACAAAGTAATTAAAAATCTAAAGCTCCACCACCTACTCCTCATCTGGTGAAGTTTAGACCACTCACACAAACCCCTCATGTCTTACAGCCTTATTTTCATTAGATTTCTTTAGGCTCAGTTTGAAAGGAGTACAAATACCTTGTATTTATATTATTTTGTATGTATTTGCAGAGTACATATTTGTATTTATACTCTTTCCAAACCGAGCCTTAGTAAATATTTGTTTATTATGTGGACATGGCTTTGTTTTGTCTTATACCTTCTTCTGTCTGTTCAAGATCTTTTCACATTTCTTTGGGTAACATGGGTTCTGCAACATTATTATTGTAATTCAGAATAAAATAAAAGAGAAAACAATCTTGTCTTTTTTAATTCCACTAATATTTTAATAAAAAGTTGTATTATTTAAAGAGGAAGAGGATATTGATCTTTCCTTTTCTCTTGGAGGAAATCCTCTCATCTCTCAAGTGATTTTGCTACCTAGACAGGTGTTTTATAAGTCTTTCCTAAGAATCTAGTCCTTTCCGTTCCCTCATTTTCCTTTGGATTGCACTATGCAAAATAAGCCATCTGCACATGTCCTTGATTGATTGATCCTTAATTTAGTATCACTAAGGCCATGTTTCGGAATACTTAAAAATAAGTGCTTATTTGGGTTGGGGCCACACCAAATTGTAACTTATTTTAAGTACTTACACTGAAAGGGATGGTAGAATCCATCGTATGGACGCTAAAATAGATGCGGAATGGGTGGGTGAATTTCAAAAATTTTCTACCTACCTTTCAACTGGGAATCACATTCCCTAATTTTAGAATCAAGATTCAAGGATCCTACTTGAACCAGAACCGAATCAGATCTGAACCAAAAGAAAATGGAGTAAATTATACTTGATCCAGAGAAATAATATCTCCCAAAGTTGGTGTTCACGCCCAAAGAAGTCACCAAGATTTGCTCCTGCTGATGATGACACAGCAACTGTGGAACAGAACCAGCAGGGTGCGTTCTACACACTGAATCCTTCACAAGAATCCTTTGGATGACAATGAGCACCAAACCGAATCAGTCGTTCATCAAAGACTGATATCAAGAACTTTTCTTGATCTTTCTCTGACAGAGAAAAACGAACTGTGTTCTGTATCCCTAGGGTTCTGAGATCCTATCTCACAAAACTGCAGGATGTGTGTTCTGTATCCCTAGGGTTCGAATTCTTGTAATTCCAATAGGGTTTCTTCCAGTTGCTTAATGATTAAGAAAAAGATCTCCTGATCATATCAGGAGTTGCCCTTATCCAAATCTGTATTTGGATTAGAACTCTTCTTAATCTTATCTGCAGATTAGATAAGCTTTTTTGGGCTCATCCTAATCTCAAATCCGCCCCTTAATAGTGAGTGATCAAATCAACCCAGTTTGAAATGGGCTTTAGGCCCATTAAGGTTATGTGCTTAAATGTCTTCCAAACTGCAGCCCAGTTGGGCTTCTTTATATGGCGTGGGACCCAAGCATTGATCTACAAACCAGCTACATGGGTTTGGCCCAGCCTCTGTTACAAGGCCTGGCCGAAATCACTGGAGAGCCCAGTGAACCCCTTGAACCTATCACATGGACCCTATGGGCCCAACACTTACACTAAGTGGTCCCTGGGCCAAGCCATCTTATAAAAACCCAGGGACTATGGGCAGGTGCAAGATTAGCCCATCAGGTATCATCCCAAATGGCCTTACACTTAACCTCTCAGCTCATAATGATCAAGCACTGCCCGACAAGAGAGGACCTCTCCCTCGGCTGCAAGGAACGTGCTACACTC